TATGTATCAAGTGAAGATAATCTCCAAACAACAGCTCACATACTTATTGGAGCCACCCTGAACAGTCTCTCTCTGTTACTGCTGCAAAAACTTGGAGCTAACATCTGACTTCTAGAGAGTAAGCAGCCAAGAAACAGCTGACCATCAGCTGATCAGCTGCTGGTGAGTTGTCCCTGACAACTCCAAGCATTTGTTTAGGATTAACTTCAGAGCATCAAGAACCAAGCTGGTCTCTCAAACTTGGTTATTACTATTTACTTATTGGTCAATTCAAGAGTGTAATAATTTGCTGTTCATGTCACTAGCCGTTAGTTACCTATTGGCTGTGTAACAGATTATCCCAGAATTTAGCAGCTCATGACAATATTTATTATCTCACTATTTCTGAGGATCAGGAATTTGGGAGCAGCTTAGCTAGGTGGTTCTGGTGAAGGATTTTATGAGATTATAATCAACATGTCAGCTGTGGCTACAGTCATCTGAACTAGGCCTGGAAGATCTGTTTCCAAGATGACTCACTCACATGGCTGCTGGCAGGAGACCTCAGTTCCTTACCATATGGGCCTCTCCGTAGGGTTCCTTGAATGTCCCTTTGACTTGGCAGCTGGCTTCTCCCAGTGTAAGTGACCCGAGAGAGAGGAAGAAGGAAAAAAAACTCATAATACCTTTTTATATCCTAATTTTGGAAGCCACACACTGTCATTTCTGCCATATTTTATCTGTAAAAAGTGAGTCACTAAGTCTAGTGTGTATTCAAGGGGAAGAGAATTAAGCTCCACCTCTAAAGAATTCTTGGACATATTTTAAAACCACCACAGTTTGCCCCCTGGCCACAAATATTTATACTTCTCCCGTGTGCAGAATACACTCATTTCCTCCCAGGATCTACCAAAAATCTCCATTTCAAGCATCAGCTTGAAATGTAGGTAATTATGCTTTAATTAGGTCCAAGTGTGGAGTATGGGTATGTCTCCTTGGTAGTTCCTTAGGTACAATTTCTTTTGATGTGAAGATATGTAAACAAAAGAGACAAGTTATTTGCCCATCACACATCCAACATACAGTGGTGTGGACAGGTAGTGATTTTGAACAGGTATAGAGATTCCTATTCAAAAAGAGGGAAAATGGAAGACACAAAGGAAATGCTGGTTCACAGTCATTCTGATAGTTGTCTGGAGACATGTTGGAAGTTCCTTGATTAGGACTTCTATTCCTGCGTAGGAGTGCCTCTTTATTGCTCTTATTTCCTCCTTCTGGGCTCTTTAGTCCACACCGTGAGTCATCTTTTCTTTTTCATGAAAAATGGATCATATTTGCAGCTGCGTTGTTTTCTTAGTCCGCTTCTTGCCAGTAGAAATTTGAGGACCCAAAGGCCTCTTTTCATTCTGTACTGTCTCTCCACTTTTCGGTTTAAGCCGGCAGTGTTTCTTTTAAAAACTTTTGAGTGTCCTGTGAATCTTAGTGGGATTCATGCCATTAGGCAAAAGTCATGCCCACAAATCTCTTCTAGATAGTCCTTTTCTACCTTGGGCTTCTGCTGAGATTATTGAGGGACACCACCTGTTGTGCATAGAATTGTGTCCCCCAAAAAGATATGTTTAAGTCCTAATCCCCAGTAAGGTCACCGTGAGTGTGACCTTATTCGTAAATAGGGTCTTCGTAGATATAATCAAGTTATAATAAGATCATACTGGATTAAGGAGGGCCGTAATACAATGGATGGTAGTCTTACAAGAAAAAAGCCAGGTGAAGACAGAAGCAGAGATTGAGGTGGTATGTCTACAAACCAAGGAATGGTGAGAATTGCTGGCAACCACCAGAAGCTAGGAGAGAGTCATGGAACCCTCAGAAGCCTCCAGAAGGAACTAAGCCTACCATTACCTTCCAAAACAGTGAGAGAATAAATTCCTATTATTTTAAGCTACCCAGTTTGTGGTGATTTGTTATAGCAGCGCTGGGAAACTAATACAATACTCTTAAGCTTCTTAGGCCATTGGTTGAGTGAATAGTTCCCTAGGCACCAGTTTAGATCTGAGCTCTTAACAAAGAATTTTTTTTTTTTTTTTTAGAGATGGGGTCTTGCTATGTTGCCCAGGCTAGTCTCAAACTCCTGGGCTCAAGTGATCCTCCTGAGTAGGTGGAACTACAGGCGTGCACCACAGCTCTCAATAAAGAATTTTTACAGCCTCACCCTTGGCTTCATCTTAAACAAATCTTTTGGCAGTACCCTGGGTTTGATCTTTGCTTGAAATCCATTTCTTAATTTTAGCATCATTTACTATCTGGAGATGCTGGGAATTCTCGGAATTATACAATCCTAACTCCTTTTTGTTTAACTATCTTTCCTTTAATTTATTCCTCTCCTTTTGCATTTTAAAATAACTGGCAAGAAGAAGCCAAGAGGGACTTTCAGCACTGGAAATCTCTTTAGCTATAGTAGATTGTCAGCCAGTTCATGAGCCACAACTTCTACTTTCTGTGTTATGGCAGGCAACAACTTATGCCAGTACATAACAAGAATCCCTTTGCCTCCAGTTTCCAATAAGATTTTTTCCACATTTCCTTAATCTCTCACCCTGAACTTCCTCAAAGGCCATAGTGCTTCTGCTGTTTCTTCAAGACTCTTCAAATTTTCACTGATGCTCTCCTCAGACTCTTTCTAGTTTCTTTCCACTGCTAGATTCCAAAGATATTCCCACATTTTAGTTTTTTGTCATGGCATCACCTACTTCCAGATATCAAAATCTGTATTAGTTATCAATTGCTATATAACAAATTATCCCAGAGGTTAGTGGCTTAAAATAACAAATATTTATTATGTCATAGGTTCAGTGGGTCAGGAGCAGGTTCATTTGGGAGTAGCTCAGCTGAGTGGCTCTAGCCCAGGGTCTCATGAGCTTACAGTCAAGATAGATGTTAGCCACTGCTGCAGTCATTTTCAGGATTGGTTAGGGTTTACGCATATTCTGGCAAGTTTGTTCTGGCTGTTGGTGGGAGGACTCAATGCCTCATCACATGGAGTGATGAGGACTGATATGGCAACTCTCCCAGAGCAAGTGAGCCAAGAGAAGTACAAGGAGGAAGCCAGTATTAGACTTTCCCTACTACTAAAGTTCAACAATAGCTAATTGCACTGTTAAACCTGTTTTTTGCTTGCTTTTTTGTTTTATTATTTATTTTTTTAATTGGCAAAATTGTATATATTTATAGTATACAACATGATGTTTTAAAATATGTATACACTGTGAAAGGACT